AAGATCGTGACAGCAGCGATACCACCCCGCGTAAGAGAGACGTGCCAGCGTTCCTATTACACGGGCAGGCTCTGCGAACCAAAATTGTTATCTCAAACCTAGTCTACAGCAGTACAGCAGTACACCAAGTTGCTCTTTGTCGGGCTCAGGCGCATCGAAAACAAAAAAAACGAACCTAGAAAACCACAAACCAACCAACAAGAACAGAACCAACTGCCTCCGCAAGTTTTTAAACCACTGAGCCCCCCCCCCCCCCCCCCCCCCCCCCCCCCCCCCCCCCCCCCCCNNCCCCCCCCCCCCCCCCCCCCCCCCCCTCTCGTGCCCCCACAACAACCGCGATACACACGGCACATGCACACCTGTAGCACGAGCTGCTGCTGCTGCAGCTGCGCCAGCGTCACCGCGGTGCCCGAGCCGCCGGCCAGCTCCGCCTGCCCGCCCGCCATCGCGGTCCCAGCAGCCGTCGGAGTGAACCCAGGTACAGTCGCACCCACCGTTTCGTTCGGCTCTCCACCCGCTACCGCTACCGCTACTGTCGCCGTCGCTGTAGAAACCGCCGCCGCCGATTTCGCCGCAACAGCGGTGGCTGTGGTGGCGGCATTCGCAGGGGCGGCGGGGGCAGCGGCAGTAGCAGTAGCGGCAGCAGCGGTGGAGGCAGCAGCGCCGGGCTTGCCGGCGCCGAGAGCCTTGCTGCCGGTCCACTGCTTCGCATCCGCCGTCAAGGTGGAGGGCTTCGTTGCCGTCGCCGCCGTCGCCGGTTTAGCCACTGCTGCGGCAGGCTTTGCTGCAGCCGCCTTCGCCGCTTCTTTCTGAGGAGGAGAGCTCCTGCCGCCGCCACCACGGGCTGCACCTTCACCTCTCCTGCCGCCACCGCCACGCCCTCCGCTGCGCCCTCCGCCGCCGCCCCGTCCGCCGTTGGCCGGTCCCACCCCGTCGCTCTGGGCCCCTCGCCCCCTGCCTCTGCCACCACCGCGCCCGCCACCCCAGCCCCCCTCACCCGAAGATCGTCTTTCATCACTGCCCCATCCTCCCGTGCTCGGAGTCTTGTCCGCTTCCCCCCAACCCCCCGCGTCCTGCGCTGCCGTAGCCCCCGCAGCCGCGTTCCCCCACCCGGAGCCGCTACCGTTCGCATCTACGGTCGCTGACGGTTTCGCCGCCGCCGATTCCCCTGCAACTGTTGTTTTGGTTACTGATTTGGCGCCGTCCCCACTGCCAAGCTGCGGCCAATCCTCTGCAGCGGGAGCAGCCGCCGCCGCCGCCGCCGCCGCCGCCCCCCCGGCGTACCCTCCCCGCCCCCCTCGGCCACCCCTGCCTCCTCGCCCCCTCCCGCGCCTTCCACCACGATCACCGGAACCGTAGGAACTCTCGTAGCTATTCCGTCGGTTGCCGCCGCCCCTCCCCCCATAGGCGCTTCCCGCGTCTCCGTCGCCATGCCGCCCACCCCTTCCGCCCCCGCTACGCCGGCCGCCGCCGCCGCTGCCGCCTCTCCAGGCGCCGCTGCGACCGTCTTTGCCGGTGGGGTTCGACCAGAATCCGGAGGAGCTGGCGATGGGACGTCCCTCCTCTTCCGCCCTGAGCACTTCCTGTCGGGTGGCCACGAAAACCGGGGGGTAAGAGAGGACGCGTTGGGTGTCGAATCGATCGATCACAAAGAGGGAGATAGGTCAGCGTCCACGAAAACCGGGGGGTAATAGAGGACGCTTTGGGTGTCGAATCGATCGATCACAAAGAGAGGTCAGCGTCCGGCTGCACCGCTGCAGAGTAAGTCAGTCCCACGACTTGAGGAAACATGGCCCGTACCACCGTCCGTTTGTCGTCGTCGACCATTTTCTGATCGTACAAGTGCTGTTTTATCAGAAAACCATCCAACACGCCTCCACCCGAGTAAACAGATAGATAGCCACGGCGTTCGCGCGGCATGTAACCGCTGCTGTCGGCTGCATACTCCTTGCACAGGAAACTCTCGCCACGCCTGCCTCGCGATAGTATCCAGCCCAAAAAAATAATGGTCCAAGGGAAACGAACGAGGTGATTGCGAAACACAAGCCGACCCTCTCAAAATGGCGGGCAGTCATCATCATCCCGGCGCAGACGGGCGCGTGAGACGGATACGCACCTCATAACCTTCGTGCCCCCAAGGCAAATCGTCGTCATCGTCGGGATCAACCGGCTTCTTCTTGCGTCGTGCTCTTATCAAAGAAACGCAAAGCACAGCGCGCGCGCGGGGGGGGGGGGGGGTCCGGAAAAGAAACACACAGATGGGGGGGAATTTTCCGAGATCTGTGAAATGCGTGCCATGAGGAAAAATTCCGAAAAGATGTGGAACAAGTCCCAAAAAGTACCGAAAGTGTGGGTGAAACATACTCTAAAAAAAATGGGAGTTTTCGCTACAAAATGTTAGCAGAAAACTAAGAGCACAGACTAAAGAACTCTCAGAACCAATCCACGCCTCGGGGTGCATGTGCACAGAAGACGGTGACATCATCCCGAACAAGGATGCTGGACACGACTCCCCACAAAATAAAGAAAGATACGAGGTTCTCCGAAAAACGAAAAATAAGGCAACCAACAGCAGAGAGCAACGGCGGAGAAACCCGAGGAGGACCTAGTCTGCTGTCCCCATCAACAATGAGCATCAGAACAAAATCGCTACCACGGATTTAGGTTACTGCACGAGTGGCATCGTCACCCCTATTAGCACAAGCAACAGCACCGAACTGGCTCAAAACAACAGTATTATACACACAAACACATGCACGCATTCCGGCTAGTCTGCTTCTGTCCCTCGAACGAGAAGGTGTTGTTTACCATTTTTTCGACCCCCTAATATCTGTAAGGTCGATCTATTTTCGTTCGACAGGCTTGGCGATGCCAAAGAAAGAATACAGACACACACATATGCATGCAGAAGCATGAACACTAGAAGCACTTCTGTTCTTACATGCCGCACTGAGACTGGCGTCTTATCATTTGATCAGCCGGTTTTAGTGCGGCACGATGCTAGATCAACGCACACACACACACACACTGACGTCTTTTCATTGGTCAGCCGGTTAGCGCGGTCGATGCTAATAATTAAACACACACACACACACACACACACACACACACACACACACACATGGCCCATGCAACCCCAACCTTCCTCGCCCACTCACCGCAGCCCCACGTCACCGCTCTTGTTCTTCTTGGGGGAAGGCAGAGCGTCTGCACGCCACCGCCCCACCCCCTCCTCCTCCTCCTCCTCCTCCTCCTCGCCGGACCCCTCCTCTCCGTCCCGCCGCTGCTGCTGCTGCTTGCCGGCACGTGCCATGCCGCCGGATCCGCCGCCGCCGCCCCCTCCCCTGTCGTCGTGCACGAAGAAGGCGCCTAGCTTGGGGATCACGGCGGGGTTCTCGCGGATTGCCCTGCGCTCCTGCGAGACGTCCGAGAATCCGCATTCGATTCGTCGTTCGTGAGAGACTGAACAAAACGGCGGCCATGCCAAGGCGGGGGTGGGGAGGCTGCAGGCAATGGTCGCTCACATGCGGCTAGGCGCGCCGGAAAACACTGCAACGAGGACGTGTACGCCTGGGTTTGCCAAAAATCCTTTACACAACAGCGATACTGAGTAGTGTACTCGTTGCGGCAGCAAGGGACACCTGAATATCTCATGAAGCAACCTAATGTCATCAACACGCATCGATAAACGAGACCTGAATGCCAAGATTTGAAACAACACTTAAGAGACGAGCGGTGTGTAGAATCGACCAGGCCGCAAACGGTGCCCGACCAAACGACCGTAGGGCGAAGGAATAAAAAAAAAAAATCTGTACCAGGAGTTTCAAGCGGCAAAGCCATCCATAACAAGGCCAGCAGGACCGTGCGATAGCCGAGGGCTGCCGGCCACGAGACAACACCCACCCCCTTTGTAGCGCCAGGGAACCGGTCCGCCTACTTCCTCCGTGAGAGTGAAAACAGCAGCGCTCACCTGCTTGATCGCGTCTTCCTCCGCCTTCGCCGCCGCGTACTCCGCCATCCGTGCTTCCCTTTCCTCCTCGGTCTCTTCCTCGGTATCCTCGCCGTCGTCGGAACCCCCTCCCCACCCACCCCCGCCTCCTTCGGCCACCTCCTTTTCGTCGGCGGAGCCCCCCCAACCCCCGCCGCTCCCTTCGGCCTCGTGTCCCTCCTGGTCTGCATTTGCACGATTGTTGTTTTGGTGTCAGTGCCGATGTTGTAGGCTGCCGGTGGACTGCACACTTCAGCTCGAGACGCGACGATCACACTAGCCAAGAAATTCCCCGTTGTTCGAGAGTCCGACGAGCCGTTTTCGCTCTCTCTCTCTCTCTCTCTCTCTCTCTCTTTCTCTCTCTCTCTCTCTCTCTCTCTCTCTCTCTCCCTCCCTCCCTCCCTTCCCCTCACCTTCACCCGCTAGTGACCCTCTCTCTTCCGGCTCGCCCCATCCCGTCCCGGCTGCCGTGGCCTGATCCGAGTAGAATACCGGAGCGCATGAGAGAATGAAAAATCGATGAGGGACGCCATATATGCAAATGCAGAGAGTGACTGACCGAATGCAACACGGCTTCTTTTGTAATGCATTAAGCCGCACATTCTATGTAGGCGCGCACTGCTGCACGCTCGACTAATTGTTTGTTCCGCTAGAAGCACGTTTTCTCTTGATTCAGGTATCCTATGAATACGATATTGTACCCCACGACAAGCGTAAGGCAAACTTAAGAAACTGCCTTGTTATCAAGTGCAATACATTTGCCAGCTTCAGGTCAGCTGCTACCGAACTGCCGCAATCCCATTATTCTCAACGGCAGACTATGTGTTAACCTATTCTAGAAGATATTGGAACAACCCGACTTGTTCTAGGGACGAGGCGGTGACTCTACGTGATTGAAGACTGCCCGTTTGTTTTTCTTGTGTTCGAAGCGGCGAAGCGGCAGCACAAGACCACCGTATCAGAAGGTGCCTAGACGCAGGTGTGCACCCACCACATACATAGCTTTTTACTTGCGTGGGATGATCGGCAATTTGTTCGCAACAACAAGATTTGGGAAGCGGAGGTTGGGACAAAGAAGTGCATAGCAACGGTTGGTGGATACATACCTTGCACAAAAAAAGAGCAATGTTCTTGTGCACTGCTTGGGTAACGCCACACGTACCTCGGGGTCTGAGTTGCCCTCCGCCTCTCCCTCCTCTCCGCCCACGGGGGTTGCTCCTTTGTCGTCGCCAATCTCAGTTCCAGCGGCAGAGGACCCGGCTTGGGCCAATGCGGCGATGGCCGGCGCGCCATCACCCTCCTCCTCGGTGTCAGAAGGCGCCGCGCCCGCGGCCTCAGAGACGACGTCTGCATCCTCTTGGTCGGAAATCACCTCGTCGTCTTCTTCCTCGCTGCTCCCCTCGTCCTCCGACATCTTCCTCCTTCTCGACGACATAGTCTGGGCGAGGAGCTAGCTCTCCCTTTGCCTCGCTTGCGTTAGTCCTCCTCGGCTTAGCTTCGGCGGTGCCTCCTCGATCGTACGTTCGGGGTGCTCCGTAGATCGACGGCGTGCTGCCCGTCAGATTCCAGCCGGGAAACAGCCAAGGGCCGGGTACGTTGCCTTGCCACAGCTAATTGTGCCGTTCCCCGTGGGTTGAGAGACGCTGTGATATCGAGTGGTATGTAGAGGCAGCAGCAAGACCTTTACTTTTGTGGTGGTTCACAAAAAGTGTTGGCCCGTGAGAGGGGCGCAACGGATGGCAGAATCAACCGTTGGCTGGTACGCAGGGGGCTCCGTGGAAAAACACAACAGTCCCGCGTCAGGATATTGCATCTGCCACGGGCATCAGTGGAGATAACGCATAGCCTCACAACCCCTGCGGCAAGCAAGCCAATAGTATCACAAGTCCAAAAGCGTGGGTGTGAAATGGCCTCACCATGGCTGAGAAAAGATCACCCAAGAAATAAGAGTCCGTTCCATCGACCTCTGAGCGGGAAATCTTACCGGTCGGTCGCATCATAACCAACAACGAACGCAACGAACGAATACCGTTCGCTGATTTGCATAGCAACTGATGGCGGTTGACAATCTACTGCTCTGCTGATACAACCCTTCCGGTATCGTCACCTAGTCGGGCGTCCACTCCGTAGACCCTGTAAATAATTCAGTACCTCGCCAGGACAGCTTCTTCACCACAATATCTCCGTCACAGGGTCTTTCACTTGTCAAATATTGTGCTGCACCAAAGTTGGCTCGCCCGAAGGACGGGCGAGCGAACCTAGCCAATTTTTTCAACGTTCAATTCGCACTTTTTCCACAGCACTACAATGAAAGGAAAGGGTCATCATCCATTTCTACTACAACTAACTCTGGAAACATAACAAACCGCGCTACTGCTGTAGAAGACTCAGCAGGTCTATCGCGATTACCAACTGACTGAACCGTCGAGGGACCGGGCTTCTCCGGCTACTCTGAAGGACTGACTATAGATACAGAGGACAGCAGCGAGCAGCGGACACACGCCGGGAGAGATCCCGCTCTCACAACATTTTTTCAGGCACACTCCGGTGGTTCGCACATCATCATGCCCCGGACGCAGCTTCGCCGCGCAGGATTGCCAGCAATAACACGGGTGGGTATGGACACAGCGTGTGACTCTCTTTTCGAAAAATGTCACTCCCGCCGTTGGCATTTGTCCCCCCTGGCTCCTGGGCATTTGACATTTTTTGAAGTTTGTCGCTTGTTTGGGATCATACCATAAATGATGTGATGATGATGGTGATGTATCATACGCGCGGCCGACGAACGAGCGTCTGTTGTGCTCGGATCATCGGCTACGGCAACGAAGCCACGACACTTCTTTAGAGTAAATTCAAGTAATTTGCTGGTTTGTTGCATAGGTAGCGACGACGGTAAGTAGTCTAAGCCACGCCCTCCCTCCTGTGAGTGTTCCATCACGAACACCCATTGTTGTCCGAGACCGTAGTGGGCTACAGCAGTATAGTTTTGGTAGGGGGACGTTCCGTCCCTGGGAGGCACATGATTGCGACAAGTTGCGAGATTCACGCTGCGGTAAGCGTTTGTACCCATGATGTTGGGAACAGAAATGAATGGATAGAGAAGGAGTTGGTTTTTCAAAATGCTCACGCGACATCACAGAATGGCTAGATAGTACGGGGATGGATTCATTACATGTACAATAGTCGACAGCATTTAGCAAAAGAAAGTAATCAGATCTATAAGGTTCAGTGCCGTCAGCCGAGACCGGACTCGAGGGTGGGTGTGATGAAGTCCAGTCATGTAATGTTCATTGCCTACGGCCAGATCAAAACGCCGAAGATCATTTCGTGCTACTGCTCTGCACTCTGCACCCCCCAAAACACCTGCTGTTCGGATCACCCTGTGTGTGTGTGTGCTGAGATCCCCTGCTCAGTTGTGTTCGGGAATGAGAGAGTGTGCAGCAAATACGTCCATGATAACAAGTGACAGCAACGTCCCTGCAAACGAACGAAACAGAAATATTATCCAGCAGGTGGTGCAATAAGCTCTACTCAGCAGTAAGTACCGCATTGATTGTTTGAACCCTCAACTTATAATACAGAAGATGGGATGAAAAGAACAAGACCGTATAAAGTTGTACCGGAGTACGAAGTACTTCGTTGTAGAAAAAGAAAATACTTGGTTCAACCAACGCTCAAAACAAATTACATTCAGCTATAATGCCGGCCGCCAGCTTGCCTCTTGCGGTGCTCGCCAGTTATATCAATCATCTCGAAAAGTGTTCAGACATCATCCATCTCTCTCATCGACAGAAACAGTGAAACCGTAGTTAGTGTGTATGCTCACAACCTACTACCATTTGGGTTGCTTTTGACAACAGATTGCTGGAAATAAATCCTGCGTGATATAAACCCCTCCGAAGAGTAAATCAAACCCACAACCTGCCGCTAGGGAGACGTGCAGGCTGACCACTAGACTACCCCTAGGCCATGGGACGGCAACCGCTACTTGTACTCACCGAAATGATGATATTCTCCGGGAAATATTGATGACAAAGGGAGATAAAGATTGGGTCCTTGTGGGCCCTCTGACCTGTCCCAGGGGGGACTCCAACACGACTCTAAAACAGTCGGACGAATTGATCCCGAAGAACGGACCTGTGCAGACTTAACATCAATGCACGCACACACGGATGCCAAAGTTCAGCTTCTAAACTCAAAAAGTTTTCTATTTTTTCCATGAATCGCGAAACCTCTTTTCATACCATTGCGCCTGATGCTACCGCTCTGCACCCCCCAAGCTATGCTGAGAAGAATCCCCCCGCTGCTGCTGTGTTCGAAAAAAATATACACCATACGGTGGGTCTTAGCAAGCTAGTGCCCGGCGATGTGCAACGTCAGAATCGACCTGCTGTACGATCCTGCCTTCCCTGCGCAGGAACCGAGGTATGGGGTCCCACAGCAGCAGCAGAGTTCCTCTGAGGTGCGCACCTCACTCGAACTTGATTTACCGACCTGATCTCCTTCAACGATACAGTCGATGTTGTCAACTCGCAAACAGACGCTTTCTTACACTCGCCACTGTTTCAAACCACCACGACCTTCACCATCCAACAGATTTGAGGACACGTTTACACCAGAGGGGTGAGTAGGTCGTGAAAAGCACTCAACGAACATGCATACAGACTCGACCCCGCGTAAGAAATTGGTGGTTCAGAAACCGACGTCCACTCTGCTTGTGTTGATATCAGAACCCCACCACCCAGAATAACTTAAACGTCACCGTTGGTTTCCCCACGGTGAAGAAAACAAACGGAGCCTCGAACAAACGAAGAGTGTCTAAGGCTGCTTCTTTGAGTAAGAACAATATCCAACGCATCTGTTCACATTTACTCCCAAGAATTTCCAGCCTTCGAGGTTGTAATTAATGCAGCTCGTAGTACTTGTCCGCCGTCCTATCATAGTAGCAATTTAGCACCGGGTCGAAGTACAGTTCGTTGTCTTTCTCCCGCCCCCCACCCTGCTGGCTCCACGTTTTCTCCCTGCCTTGTTCTTTCGGTGCTGGTGACGAAGTCGATCCTCGAGAACCTAACACGACTGAATCAACATCATCGTCATCGTCATCGTCATGGTCACCGTTGCATTCGCTCGCCCGCTGTCGGGAGCTTGTGTCGATTGAGCTTGCAAGCCAAGAAGTAATACTCTCATCGGGTCCACCATGGTCCATTCTCCGGCGAAGAATGTTAGTCTTCATCGAAGAATGGACTTCGGCCTCGATGTTCTCTGCAGGTGCCGAGGTTCGATCTGGCGAACAGCCCCCGGCGAAGAAACCATGCTTCTCCGACGATTGGCTGAGCGGAACAGCGACAGGAAGCGGGAAGAGGCGGTTCGTCGGAGGGACAGGGTAGCATGCATAGGTTCGCTCATAAACCGCATGCGTTCAGTTCATCAGCTTGACAAGGTGTCTCTTTTGAGACGGAGCGCCATTCATTATTGATGTATTCTTTTGGAATGTGGTGCATGTGGAGAGAGAACGTGTTGTGCTTCGAGCAGTCTCTAATGTCTGCTGCACCGGGAAATTCGCATCCCGAGACGCGATGATGCCCACAAGATACCCAGGTGAGCAAGTTTTGTACCCATGCGATTTTTCTTGCTTCAAGGCACCAATGTGGCGAGAAAACCACAATACCGCAAGCATAGAACACGCAAAATACTCTGAGGGGTGAACGGTACCTTAGGTCGACCGACCCGAACTCGGTGTGATATGACTCCTCCAGATCGAGAAGAGCGCTTTCCTTCCTCTGCCGAAGGAACGCATGGGGGCAGACGAACAAAGAAGAGTCCGATGGCTCGGTGAAGGTTAGTGCCAAAGCCGGATACGTACGCATAACGCCATAGAAATTACACCGCTCGATTTCGCCTTTTCATGGTCCCACTGATTGAGGGTCGACACAGGGCGCTCGTCTCTGCACTGCTCTCCCTCGGAGTGTATTCACGCACGAGGGAGCGCCCTCTGCAGTGCCAATAATATACCTAGGTGCGAAACACGAAAACACCTTGTCGAGTTTCGAACTCCATACCGAGCCGCTACAACTTTGTCAAGCTTGCCAACTAGATCACCGGGGGGACGGGTGTTATCCCAAGAGGTAGGTGAGGGCTGCATGGAAACACATGACGCATGAGAAAAGCACCTTTTCAATTTTCTCGCGCTTTTCCAGACTGATCACGCAGCAGACCTTGCCTGTTTCACTACCAGAAGGCGTGCACATACCATGTCTTCGCTTCGAAATTAAACCATGAGGTGGCACACGGGCATACTTAGATGTTCGCACCACCATCTAGAGGTCAGCCACAGCAGCAGCGCTGTGTAGTGAAGCCCATTCGATTTCTCACCTTCAACTCCTCCAGGTCCGATCGGTCCACGGCCTTCGGCGGTTCTGTATTTTCTCCATGCCCCCTCTCCCTGCTCGTCGCACGGAAGAAGGACTCCAACACCCCCTTGGCACCTTCTCGGCACGCGGAAGAAAACCCTTCGATCTCCTCGCGGTCATCGCTTTCACCGACATTACCCCTGCGAGTGCCCTTACGACTTGTTTCCGCCGATACCCCGCTCTCTTCGGCGAGGCTCAGGGAAGTCGCTTGTCCCCCAGGTAAATGTCCACCGTCCAAGGCGGACAGGCCGGTACGCACATCAGTGTGTGTGCGCGCAACTTGTGTCGAGACTGCAATGGCTTCTTTTGTTGCGATCGTTCGGTGGCGATCGGTACCGCCCTCATCCCGGTGGTCGTCTCTGCTTGAACTGACAACGCAAGCATCGGAACCACAATTTGCGGGTCTCGCGATGGCGTCGAACGAGCTGCTCGCACAGTTGGTGACGGGGCTGCCGTTGCCGCCACGGACACTGCTCCCGGTGTCGACGTTGATGGTACTGTGCACCGACAAATGTTCGAGCGCATCGGCATCGTCGGCATCCCCACTGCCGTTGTCGCCACCACTACCTTTGCCGTCCGGAAAAGCCTCCGTCTCCGTTCTCGAAACCTGAGCCTTGCCGCGTTTCTTTCCGCTATCGTTTTGTGGCCTTAGTTCTTCCCCGCCCATCGCCCCGGGCGCGAGGAGATTCTGCAGCACGTCAACCCGTGCAGACATCGGCGACCTTTGCATCTTGCCGCAACGACTTGCGTCGCCCGCAGAGAGCGGGGAACGGCGAGCAATCGCACTCGTTTCTTCCCGAGGGGAGAATGGAGAAGCGAATAGGCTCGCTCTTGTCGCCGACCTCATTTTCTTGTCACCGTCTTCGATGTGCTTGACGACCGCATCAGCGGCAAAAGAGGTGTTTGGTAGATCGACGGCGCCGGGGGGGGGTTCAGCTGTAGCTGCCGAGACGTTAACGGCCGCGGAGGACCACGGGCGGAAGCGTGATGACGCAGATCTGTTGTCGCGCGACTCCAGTGAGGATGCAGAGACTGCTCCACCGTCCTCCCTTTTGTGTCTTTCCAGCCAGCTGACATCGATTTTGGGCGGAACTTCGGGTGACGGCTGTGGAGAAGAGGAAGGGACGCCTGCAATCACCCGTACGCCACCTCCAAGTCCTTGGTAAGCAAGCTCGGAAGCCGCACCAGAATTTTCGTGATCGGCGATCGATGCGGTAGCGTGGCTGCCGCTAGTGCCGCAACGCGTCGTGAGTGATACCGGTAGGATATCCTCAGGCTGTTTGGAGTAGGTGTGTTTTGCTTGCGGTGTCACAGCTCGAAAACCATCGTCAGGGGACGAGTCGTCGAACAAGCTGTCGCTCTCGAGATAGGGAAGAGAGTGTCAGACGGACGGCGTGGAAGAGAGTGTGGGAAAACAGACTTCGGTGAGGTTGGTCGACATGGCATTCAAGCGCTTCGAGAATATCAGGGAGAAAACTTCGCCCATCTGCCCTGTTGCCCTGAATGCAGCTTATATCCTCAAATAAAGCGCAAACACACATGGCACGACATCACACCACCGTATGCTTTTCTTTCCATCAGAGCGATCGGCGTGAGCAATCCATGAAGAGAGTGGCGTACCCTCTACACAAGGGTGCCCTTCCCCATCAAAACATGCAACGCGCCCGCGTCACACAATTGTTCGCCTACAAAAGAATGATCTCCACCGATCATGACGCAGAAACGAATCACGTTGTGTCCCCCACCGCTCCTACTTTCGGCCGCGCTGACCACAGTTACACCAAGCGCCCGTTACATGCGCGCCGAAGACGTGAAGCGCACACTGCCTCACCTCCATGCTGGCGCCGGCATTTCTTGCCGCCCATTCCAGTTGCCAGCCACCCGCCATTCCGCTGGTGGCTCCCGAGCTATTTGGCCATCACCTCCACCTCCTGCTCCACTGTCGCCGCCGTCCTCCGCGACCTCCGTGTGGTCCACCTCGCGTGTCCTGCCGCTGGACAAGGATGCTTTGGACGCCCGTAGCCGCGCCGGTAACAGGTCGCCTCCCGTCTTGCCCGTACCTTTCGGCTCATCGCGCGTATTTTCGTCGGCATCAGCAACAACGCCACCGCGTGCCATTGAGCTTGTTGTACGCCTTGGTGTACAGCTCGGCGTCGTTGCCTCTGCCGTTGCTGCTCGAGATGGCGTCCGACAGATCGAGGTGATATCAACCGCGCCGGGTTTCCCCACGGTTGTAGAGCTTTCCCCGATCGCCCTCGTCACCGTCACGCCATCTCTCCTGCCAACCGATCGCGCAGAAGAACCATCCCTGACGCTGCCCCTGTCGGGAGTCGGTAGCCTTGGCGTGCTGGAGGTGGACGATGGCGTGCGCGAGTTGCTGCAAGTGACAATGGTGCCAGTGCCCCTTCTCCTCGCGGGCGTCGCTAAAGGAGACGGAGTAGCGATGGGCCGGGTAGACGAATTGCGTGACCCCCTCGAAGAAATCGAACGCTGTTGCTGGAGGGTGCTGGTGGGGGAAGCCCTGCTGCTAGAACTCGACGAAGGCTTGCAGGCCACGATTTCGAGGAGGCGAGGTGATGGTGTCCCTCTCTCTGCGAAAAAGAAGCAAGCGAAAATGCACGGTGGGAAGAGCTCGATCTAGGCGGGATAGAAGCAGAGTCGACTCAGCCCAATCCAGGTGGAGATGTGGGCAGTAGCTCAGTATTCTGCGAACGAGATATCCCGAGAGAAGGTGCTGATACAGCGGGCATGCGCAAGTCAAGCGCTGACAAACAGGGACTCCCTAGCATCCGCAACGACAAACGGAAGGCTGCGAAACCTGCAGAAGTCCAACTTTGCGGACGCCACATGACGTGCGTAACACGATGTGCAAATGAAATCCCCACCCTTCTAACTCACGTACCATCAACTACATACTCTACCCGTAATCAGCCCAAATACCTGTCGCCCCGCCGCTGCTGAAACGAAAACTCCGCGCCACTTCTGGTCTACATAGTGATGCCATAGCAGGCGATACGGATAGCGGGCCGCCTTTCAACGACGACTCCTTCAGAGAGGGCGCAGGGCGATTTTTTCTGCCCTTTGCCGAAGAAGTGGCCACCAATGAATTTCGTTTGGATGGGCTTGGCGGCGGAACATCCCGACTCGCTAGGCGCCGCAGGGTGGACACGGAGATAACCTGTGAATACACGTGGGTGGAGAGAGCGGGGTGGTAGGTTGAAAATCTCCCGGAGGAAAGCAGTGATTATCTTGTACGAAACAGCCCTCTTTTCTGACCGTAGGTGCGATCTACGTTCTATACAAGCAGCGCTCCGCATGCTATCCTTCTACCACTAGTACTTATTGTTGCATGCTTACGTCGGCAAAATACTCTCTTAACCGCATACCATTACGTGTCGCTTCGCATCATTGCTTTGGCTCGGTCCACGTGATGTGCTCACCCAACTCTGCGGGGCAGGGACAACCCCTGCCGGAAACGCCATGCGAAGCGGAATCGGTGCCACGGGAGCGGATTTACACCCTACGTCATTGTTCTGACCTGCGTCGGCCGATAACAACGCACAGCGACCAGAGAAAGCCCGGATACACCAGGGGGGGAGGAGAGAAGGACCATTGGGAGTGTAGTTCCAGAATCTCTTCGGTCTGGTCCTCATGTGGGAAGATTAGAGCGACCTAACCGCGGCGATCACCTCTCCCGGAGCCGTTGTGGGCAAAGTGTGTGCGTGCGTGTTTCGTCTTATGTATTCTGGGCGCCAGTCTACACCATTGGTATCAGGTTAACTCATCAGCCGGGGTCACACAGGAGGAACACAGTCACAAGATTTCTTCGTTCTCCACCTTTCCTCCTGCGCCCCTTGCCTTCAGTTTTGACTCGAGAATAGTCCAGCAGCTCCTTCCCTCTTTGTGTGTATTGGAGAATACGCTCTTTTCACTTCTAAATTGGGAGTTTTCTCATTAACCCCGGAGAGATTGGAACCCACCACCTAGAACCAACAGGTTTTACGAGGTTGCCAACGGAATCATCCAGCCTTGGTTGCGTGGACCGAGCAAATAACACCAAGACCGTGTCCGTGTCCGTGCGGTCGAGCCGCCATCCCACCCTCATAACACACCCAGCCAAGTATGGGCGTTGCGTAGGGTATGCGCGAGCGGCGAGCGGGTGACTAAACGGAACGTTTCATGCCGCGGACCGCTCGGCGGTATCAATGTAGCTTGTGATTGTGATTTAGTCTCGACAACGTCCCTCTTGCCCTATCCTCACACCTGAAGCGCCAGCGGAAATAAGTTCGCTTTGATCGTCGTCTCCGCCAGCCCCTGACGAATCGTCAAGCGCTTCCTTCATCGTAAAAACCTTGCGGAGCCGGCACGTCGGCCCGATCGCGAGGAGGTCCAGGGTGCGGAAATCGTCTGCCTTGAAACAAACCGCCGTCAACCCCACCAGGTCAATGGTCAAGTTCGCCCAAGACCCCCGGTAACGCTCCAGTCCAACGAGAGGGATCTGGTACATGTTATGATGATGACCGAACAAAAAAAAAATTCGTTGAACGACGAGACGTTGGCAGGCGAACAAACGTAGGCCAGTATCGTAGGCAGCGATGGCACACGAACATGTGCGTTCACTCCTCGCAAACGGCTGTGCCACACAATGGTGGCGCTCCCGTTAACAAATAAGGCCTACGCGGAGTAATTCAACCGCATCTCCGAAAACGTGCACCACCAACCTGAGCATGCAGAGGCGTGCAGTGCAGCGCGCGGAACGACGAGGACAAAACCAACCGTCGCCGCGTGCCGCCAGTATCCGTCAACCCGAGCTCCAACGAAAACGGCTTATCCTGGGATGTCGATGTGAGCACCTGCAGCACCAGATGCCGCTGCCGTAGGCCCACTAGACCGAAACGTGGCCACGGCGGGGGCAGCGATGTCATCGTTTCAGCTCATCGATGCGTTTGCAACTACAGCAGTAACATAGGGAAACGCACCCGATCACTGTTGTCTTCGTAAGAGATGGTTACTTTCCTTGTTTCACGGGGAGAACTCGATGAGCTATAGTACAATGGTGAGACATCACACCATGGAGACTTTTCGACAGATCCGGCTGAACGGGGTTGCAAGCAGAGCGACCCCGCCCTCTGTCAGTTGGTGAACAGGCGCTGTACTCACGTAGACTCTTGGGCGCCTTCGGTAACTGCATCTTTGACGTCGCCCCTCCGCTCACTGCCAGAACGTAGCTGCACGAAGGCACATATCCGTGGTTACGTCAGGGACGAGTGTGGGGCGTCATGGGTCGGGGCGCGGGCGTCTGCGGTGACGAAGCAGTCGATGCCAGCCAAAGTGAATAGACCACTTATTTTTCAGGCATGATGTTCTAGTTCCGAGACAGACTCAGTCGCCGGTCATGTCCCTGCAGAATGTTGGTGGGCCGATGGCAACCATCTCGTATCTCTCTCGTCAAAGCCAATATGCACCACGTCCACAGTCGTGCGCTGTGCCTTCTTCCCATCTCTACTGCCCCGCTTTTCACGCACAACTGTCGAGAAAACGGGCACTGTTCGGACGTAGCATTCCATCAGTTCCCAGGTCAACATATCGGAAAGCTTGGCAGTTTGCCGTGTAGAAAAGCGGTCAGCTCGGGTGAAAGCAACAAGTTGCCTATTTTTCTACTTTTCGAAGCGTCCCAAGCAACAAGTTGCCCATTTCGAATTCCGCGAGACCAATCAAATAGACTGACAGTCTAGGCTTTCACCACGGTGTTTTTACGTCCTGCTGCCCAAGCGACATTTTCTTGCATAGTTTGAAACGTACATCAACCAAGCTCGAGCTCCTTGGGCGCCAATTGCATTGTCCGTATGGGCCAACACGCGGCAGCAACGACCTCCCACTTGATTTGTATGCAAGGAAAAAAACTGCAACAGGTATGCATATACCACGTAAAGTACAACATCAGCAGCGCCGCTACGGGCAGTCCTACAGGTACATAGTTTCCTACACCAACCTGTTCGTCTACATACAGCAGTAGCTGGATACGGGCAGAACGAATACGATGACGATGGCAAGCGGTGCCGACGCTACTAATCGTCTAGACTACTCGTGGTTCCTCCGGGTTGGCATTCAACGACTGGCACTATGCACCACGATCATTTTTGCCTGGCAGCTCAACATACATCTCATTCGCAAACATGTTGGTTACAGAGCCCTGGTTTGGACATTTGTCTTCGCAACAGATAGCGGTATTGCAACTACAGCAGCATCGCACCGTACAGCAGTACCAGCGGTTCATGATGACGGGGTTACTCACCCTTTCACTCCTTTCTCGTACATGCGAACGACCTTCCCGCTAAGCTTCCAATCCGCAGCAGGATTCTTTCCTGCTGGCGAGAATACCTCTACGCAGTCACCATCCTGATACGCCGATTGGAACATACCCCCAATGTGTTGGTTTTTGAAAACTGGATCTCAAACAAATATCCTCAGAGCGCTGCTGTACACCGTTGGCACTCTTGAGCAGGAAGACTTTCAAGGGAACAATTCAATGTTCTAGATCATTTCAGTTTCCCTAATCCATCTGTTGGGATCATCCACAGCAACAGCATTCCTCGTCCTCAAGCTCTAGCCCTCTCTGCTGCCTGCTGCCTGCTGCCTTGTCTCTCGAGAGCTGAAGAGTCACCCTGAAATAGCGGGAGAACCCAAACGCCCTCAGCTGATGACTGCAAACCCCACCAAAGAAAACTGCTATCTGTCGTGCCATGTGTGTTTCTCCGCGCGGCGGCTCGCACATGCTCGCATACCGCACCACACGGCGGTGGATGGTGGTTGTGCTGAGTGTAGGCTCGAGTGGTGCGAAAATGGGAGAGAAACCCAAGGAGGAGGCAGAGCTGGCTGCAGAGCTGTCAAGCTGTATGCTTTCACACTACAAGGTTGTCAACATCTCTTGTGACCTTCAACCCAGTTGCCATGGACTCGTGTTCCGCCACGCGCATGATACTTCAGATATGTGTTGCGTAATACTTCTGCAATACGCTACCATTTGCTGATACCAGGCAGTGGTGGAAACACCTGCATCTCGTCCTACTTCTTGTGTGTTCCGTTTTTGTTCAGTATTGCGCAGCTGGAGTGTTGCTGGGCCTCCCGCTAAGCATCCACAAGAAGAGTTATTGGCCGGTGACACTGGCGGCGGTCGCAGGAACGGCGGCCGACTTCAAGGAGGTAAGTCGGAGGCCAACGCATTGGCGAGTCGTCGCGCTGCCACGCACTTCTCTGCCGACCCCATGTCAAACGTTTCGGGTGGGTCCATTGACCTCTGTGGGAATTACCTCTTGTGGGCTATGCATTTTAAGGTACACCGTTGGCTGTAGCGCGAACGAATGCATAACAGCGATGATACGTCAAACTCATTCTCGCCAAGATTGCTGGGCCAACCCCAGCCGCCGCGTGCTTCTCACGCCTCAAGCATGTAAAGGGTAGCGTGCATACCGCCGTGTTGCTGCGTCAGTCCGCCAATGTACTGTTGTTAGTATACCTTCCATCCCGATTGCTCTCACGCCAACACTTGGCGCCGCCCTTCCCGCCCGTTCTTGTGTCAACAGGGTACTGCCAACTGCAGGCCTCAAAGAGAGGCATCCTGATTGCTCTCACGCCAACACTAGGCGCCGCCCTTCCCGCCCGTTCTTGTGTCAACAGGGTACTGCCAACTGCAGGCCTCAAAGAGAGGCATCCTGATTGCTCTCACGCCAACACTAGGCGCCGCCCTTCCCGCCCGTTCTTGTGTCAACAGGGTACTGCCAACTGCAGGCCTCAAAGAGAGGCGCTTATGGCATGCATCGCTCGAAAAAACGCCGGGCAGGCGAAGGCACAGCAAGAGGCATCTGCTGGGACCACGGAAAATCCTGGTCAACATTCACCTCATTAAGGTTGGCCGGCAGAGGAGCGGCAAGGCTGGCCCGAAAAAGGGATGGGAACAGACTTCCGATGAGCGTTGCCGGGCAAAGAGGTAGAGAGGGAGGGCGGCGACAAATGGTGGCCTTGCTCTCCTCTCATCACTTGTTTTGAGTTGGTTTGATGTGTGCAGACTATTGCTCGTGGCGAAGAAAGTGCACTCCTATTGAGCGCTTTCGGCGGAGGCCTGAGGACGGCTTATCTTTAGACGTTTCAGATGGATTTTCATTCCTGATGAAGTTTGCACAGGGCACTTTCGTTCTCGATCCCTGTGGTCCGCGAAGACTACTTTGTGCCTCCCCGTTGTAGGGTACACCCGAATTTTACATCGACCGGCTGAACGCAGTCCGTATCTAGATTTAGAGTAAATCTGTTTTAATAGAGCTTCATTTGGCTACGAAATATTTTTTATGGAATGAAGCCACAGCCAACCTACTGACAGTCGTTGCGTTGTATCAACGGGTGCAGACAGATGACGTAAAAGGATTGTGACCGAGAGACGTCGACCTACGACGGAGGTTTACATGGGTCACCCGCCCGGCTTGACTGTGTGCAAAGTTGGCTATTGGGACGATTTTTTCCTTTTACCGTGCACACGAAATACACTGTAGATGCTCCCATGTTTTCCACTGACCTGTCCACGGAGGCCCGGAAAATAAGATGCCAAAGAGTAGACAAAATATCAAGTTTACATATCTGAATCTAGCGAGGCCTCGTTTCCCTCGGCTCAACCTTATGCTCATTACGAGCTTCGAAGTACACGATCACGAAGGGGACTGCCGCCATCGTGCGGATCGCCTGCCGGGAATTGCAAGCTACGATTCTCCTGGGCGCCACGCGTTAGAATTGCACGTGGACGTTGCAACACCAAACTGCCAAAGCCATGCAACCAAAATACCCTACCATCACCACGGAAAAGAGAAACAGGCAAAGTACGAAACGCTGGAGCTGTGTCTCGTCTAGCTCAAGACTCACAACCAGGAAATCAATCCCGGAGGAGTTGTCGAACATATGCATACATCAACATGCAGAAAAATCGCTCTGCGACATCTTGTGCACACTGAACCATTGCAGAATGCTTTGGTCCTACTCGGAAGCCCATCAACACCGTTGCGCTCCAACGCCGCCTCAGGATCACGCCACGTACTTACGCCACAGGGTAACCTCTTGCTGTTTGAAATACCTGCAACACGCGATACCGGGGTTGAGGGGCTCAGGAGGTTGAGCGGCATGATGCACATGCGGTGGTATGGACTGTGCATATCAGACACAACGAGGCACCTTCAGGTCGACAAATGTGTTGCTGACTCACCTGCGGTCCTCCTCGTCCACCAGCACGAGGTTAAGGAAGTACTTCACAGTGAACTTATTGGTCCCTCGGTAGGTCGGCGTCAGCGCGTATGGCTTCAGGAACACTCGCAGTGGCACGCACTCCCCTGCCGGAAGGATTTTCACGCTCAGAAATCAGTTCGAGTTGGTACCACTTCAAAGTTGAATCTGCCTGGCAACAGCCGAATTACAGCAAGATTTACATTTGGTGCCCTTCGGTGTACTCAGCAACACTGCATGCCAAGGCTGGAGGGGGCAAACGCGCAGTCGCTTGGCAACAACCGGCAAGAGCCACCAATCGCCGACTGAAAATAAATGACACTAAGATAAATGGTCTACGGGTCGGTAAGTACAGAGGCAAGGGGGGGGCAGGGGCGGGAAGGAGTTGCCGTGAGACTCCTCTTGCGGTTTGATTTTCCCCTCACCCTTGGCGGGTGCCCCGTCCATGACCTCGTACTTGATGATGGTCTCACTCTCGTTGTACTGGTTGGATCCCGTCCCTGCCGTCTCTCTTCTGATGATCGCCATCTCCATATGCTTGATCTTGATGCGCACAAGCAAGAAGTAGATCTGCGGGGTTCGGGCGCATTTCATGGACAACAAAGCATATTCTCGTAAGCGTTACAGCATGTCTTTTGTGTCATTTCACTGTCCTGTGTAAATG